ACCAACCCGAACAGAAGTGGACCGCCCGTTAGATTAAAGGACAGAGAGCGCTACTCATTTGTCGGTCCTATAGAGCGTAGTGAGTACCGTAGACAGCCGGCTGCAGCTGCCTGACTGAAGGAATTTTCATTTTGTTTTACGTAGGTTTTCGCAAAATGGTTGATGTAAAGACACCCGCTGGCCTTGCAGCCTTCAACGAGACTCTTTCCACACAAGCTTTTGCTAATGGGTAAGTTTTGCAACTTTTATGACATCAGAAGCTTCTCACTTTTCCTACAGAGTTCTTTTTTTGTAGGGTTTTCATAGCTCTAATCCTTGTGGGAATTTGATAGCCTTCATACTATTTTGACTATTAATTTACTTTTATTCATCATCACATAGAAAATTTCATTACTTGGCCACGTGGTACTTATATCCGATTTGCATGTTAAAAGGCTCGCTACATTCTTATCGCTCTTCGTTGTTTTTCTTCATAACAACTCCAACTTTTTATTAGGAATTTGGACCTTGCGACGAAATTTTTTTAAGTTTGCAACTTTTTTATCCTTCGTACATTTTCTTGTACAACCTTAAAGGAAGGGTTTTTAGCTTATTGTTCGCATGGCTAATTTTCGATTTTTGTAAAAGGCCTTACAGAAACCACTGACACCTCGCTCAAAGCGTAAATTTTTTACATAAAAAATTGGGAAAATTTACTGTAAAGCCCCGCGCTCATGGAGTAGTATTTCTTTGATCGCAACTTGTAACTGTAGGAAGGTGGAGCGCCATAGTTAGACTGACGAACTTCGGAACGCACCAAATTTGGTATTTTGTAAGAGACCTGGGAACGGAACGTTGCCTGCAGAGGCGAGTCTAATAACGGTAATTAGTCCTTTCCAGTAGGATACGGTAAACCTGCGGCGGATGAATCTCATGGTTGGCTAAAAGCTATTACGGTAGGATTTGAATGTCGCCACTACGACGTACTGTTTTATTCAATTTCATGGAAAATTCTCATTCTAAGTTTAGGTTTTGCATGAATTTTCTATCATATAAAACTTTGTGAACCAAATCACATCAGCTTTCTTCTTTGCCATTTTCCAGCAACTTGTGGTGTTAGAAATTCTGTCCTTGTGTGTCGACATAAATGATCTCAGCACATGAATTTGCCGTTATAATTAAGAAAAGAACCGGATAATTGTAGCTCTCAGCATTTGCGCGAAAACGGAGTTTATGGGAATCTGGGGAAAACATATAATTTGATTTCCTGAGGTCATTTTTACAGGTTTGTTTTGTCTGGAGAGGACAGCACACTTTTCGACGCCATTGGTTCAGCTCCTTGTGCGAAGACCTACCCCCATGTCGCCCGCTGGTACAAGAACATTGCCAGCTACGATAAGAGCGAACGCAGCTCATGGCCCTCTGCAGGTGGATCTGCTGGTGGTGACGAAGAAAAGGTTTGTTGCAGAAGAAATGCTTACTCTTCTCTAGAAATAGTTAGTGCTGGTTTATGGTTGAACTTAAATAGAGTGTTGTTGTAGGAGGAAGAACTTGATCTCTTCGGATCTGATGATGAAGAAGATGCTGAGAAGCAAAAGATTGTGCAAGAACGTCTGAAGGCTTACGCAGATAAGAAGGCTGCAAAGGGTCCAGGCCCTGTCGCAAAGTCTTCTGTAATCTTGGACATCAAGCCTTGGGATGACGAAACGAATCTCGAAGAGATGGAGAAGTTGGTTCGTGGCATCGAAATGGACGGCCTAGTATGGGGAGGATCGAAATTGATTCCCGTTGGATACGGTTCGTTTTACGTCATTTTCATCTCTTAGTTCAAGAATTTATTTCTTCCTAACTTCATGGCGTTCCTATTCTAGGTATCAAGAAGCTGCAGATCATTTGCGTGATAGAAGACCTGAAAGTGTCCGTAGATGACCTCATCGACAAAATCACCGGTGATTTTGAGGACCACGTTCAATCTGTTGATATCGTGGCTTTCAACAAGATCTAATGTGCCTTCCGTTGCTCGTTGTTCATTGTTGCTTCGGAAAAAAATGAAGACTTATTTATTCTGTTGAGCTTATTTTCCTATAGTTCCTTTCTTTCATGCTTATGTTT